AAGAGAAACAATTGTGATTAAATTATTTACAAGATACACACTTTTATTTTGGTTAAGTTTTATTATCAAGCTCCTGTGTTTTTTCATTTCTTGTCTTATTGTGCTACCCACTTTTCACTCGTACATCACAAAAGAACACCAGATTAACTGTTAATCTTAACTCTCTCACAAATAACATGATTAGATGCTCTTGCATACAAAGTAACTTGAATTTATTAAAATCTATTTAGTAAGTTGACTCCTTATTCCTGACATAATAACTGCATTGAGTATCACACAAGGCACTTCATTGAATTGTCACTGATTATAAATAAATAATGGTTATTTTCTTCTTGGGTAACTGCTTAAAAAACTACTTGTCCACTTCAAACTGCATACTAATCAGATTTCCTAGTCCAGCCTGAATGATATCACCAGGTATTAGTTTGGAAACACCAGAAGGTGTGCCAGTCAAAAGTAAATCTCCAGGTTCTAATGTAAAATACTGGCTAGCATAGCTAACTAAATATTCCACTGAGAAAATCATATCTTTGGTGTTCCCTGCTTGTTTAGTCTCTCCATTGACTTTCAGCCACAGATCAATGTTATTTGGATCTGGAATCTTTAAAGAAGCAAAGAAATTATTGAAGTACTGGTATTAAATAAAATAACTATTAAAAAAAAAAAAGTTACCTTCCAGACTTTGAGAACAGATGAGCTCTTCTCTTTCTATTGCCTATGATTTCCTTATGTATTTACAAATACTACTACTAAAATAGTATTAATTCTTTGCATCTAATTGTAAGGAAAATAATCTTACCATATTAAAACAAAATTGAAAAAAACATTTTGTTAACTATGCAAAATCATGTGTTATAATCTCACCTTTTCTTTTTCAATGAATGCACTAACTGGGCAGGAGGTATCAAATCCTTTAGCTAAAGACCATGGATGTCCTTGTTTTTTGGCTTCGGACTGCCAGTCCCTAGCAGTCATGTCTAACCCGAGAGCATAGCCACCCACATAGTTCAAGGCCTCCTCTGGAGCTACCTGAATAGCTTTGCTGCCAATCACAACTCCAAGTTCTACTTCATGGTTCAAGTCATTACATCCTTGTGGGATCTAATATTGAAAGAAATAAACAACTCATTAATAAAGCAGAATTCATTTAAAGCAAAGCTTACCAAACTGTGTTCCACAATGTCTGACTAGGTGTTCTATGAACTACTGGAATAATTGACTTGCAGGCCACCACATGAATTAACCTCGCTCAAAAAAAATTAAGCAAAGTGTTACACTAAATATTCAGAATGTGCAAAGTGTTCTGTTAATTAAGGGAAAAGGTTTGAGAAACACTGAGTTAAACTGTAATGGTATTATGGTTGTCTAATGTGCACTAAGTTGGTTTGTTACCCACTTATAGATATTTACTTGTTCACTAGAAACTTCCTATATAGGTAAAGAAAATATGCTCTAAGTAATCACCTTTATGGCTTGACCTTCAGAAATGTAAGCAGAAGTTGGCTTCAGGAAAAGTATTGGCTTGCTAGGTACTGGATTCCCTAACTCTGCAGCATGTTCCCTGTCAAATTACATTACATTTAGGAATAATGACTTCTCTGTTGGCTTGTGGGTGTGATGGTATTACACTTGGTGTCATTCATAGTTATCTAGATTCAATAGTTAAGACAGAATCTTTCAGTACAGTATTGAAAGAGATTGAACAGGTGTACTGCATGCATACAAGGCATGGGGCTGGCAATGCTCTGAGAAGAGTAATGGTGAGCAATGCAACATATATTATTTTGAGTACCATTAGTTGCTACAAGTTAGAGTAAGGTAGAGCCAGTATTAATTTGTTTTTACAATGAATCAACTCAGCAGAATTAATAATGTCATACAGGCAACTGTTCTGACTTGTAAGTTTGAAATGTTACATAGTCTAGATTTCACTCCTGCAAAATTATCTTTTAAAACCCCTTCTAATTTTATTATTGAGGACCTTCTCATAGAGTACTATGGAAATTAAAATACTGGAGACTTGGGTTTAAATCTTGACTTAACAATGACAATTTGACATTATTTAGAAGTATCTAGATAGAGCAATTGTAAATAAATCTAGCATTTTTAGTTACACCCGAAGACAATGTAGACTGCTTTTGAACTAGATCTATTTATTACTATAATGATTATTTCATATTTTATATGCTACTACAAACGACAAGTGCTCCTTCTTCCTAGGAGCCATTTGCCTGAATCAGCCGGGAAAACCAATCATCGGATGTCAACGACATGGCGGTAACAATAATATTTAGCCCAAACTTCCCGCATGAGGCCCGGATGGGTTCAAACCCGGGACCACCGCGACCACAGTCCAGAGAGCATACAATGCCATACTGTGATACACGACCAGGCAACCATTTTATTTACCTGTAATTTCGACCTACGCAGACTATTTTTTTGCCAAAGGTGCGAAACTGTGAGAGTTTTGACATGGCTATGGTCACTGGTGCGATACTGATGATATATCTCTAGATTTATTATACCGGTACTATGATCTCATCATAATGTTTTGACACCGCTTCGTACACAACTGTGCTGACACACCATGGCATTGAATGATCATGATCTTTGACCCGGCCAGATTTTGTTTACGCCGACGGTCTTTCGCCTAAATAAACCAAATAAATCGATAAAGATTAATACATCATGTATCGGCATTACTAGAGTCTAGATCTAGAGTTCTAGATATGTAGATCTAGGTGGGTTTATCATTTATAGGGAGATGAATAAATACAATTAGACTATAATATCTAGTCTAGATCTACATTTAACCAATGTAGCCTTTATTCCATTTTTTTAAAAATTTGCTAGCGTTGAAAATATTCTCAATTAATAGTTGGCAATTTTAATTTAAGAATAGCCTCCTATTAATAAAGTAAACAAACATGTTTAAAATCCACAGAAGCGACAGTGACACAGAATCTAAAATCTAAGGCTTCCAAGTAACGGTATTAGTTTACGTGACTAGAAACGCTAAATCAGGTTTCTCTTATATTTTAAGAATATGCAGAAGAAAAATGCATATTATTATATTTGAAGTATCTGAATGTAGGTCTGCGTCTGCACAGATCCATAATTAGATCTATATTCTATAATAAATAAGTACTTATAACTATTATTAATTATAATAAATATATACGACGTCTTTTACTTAACTTTAAGTATACTGTATAGTCTATAATCTTTCTATATATATATATATAGACTTTATAATTTATATAGATCTAGATAGAATGAATAATTTTTATAATTACTTGAAATCTAGATCTATTTATTGTATTGTATCAATTGTAACAAACATAGGCATAGCCCCCCGCCCAAGCCCAAAGCAATACGCCCATACTTAGATACTATACTAATACTAGCCTACTCCTACGCCTGGCGTAGCCTGGTTGACACTAAGACTCTAAGACTGAGTGACTCAAACTCAAAGCACTGAACCTTTAAACGTACAAGTACAATACAACCACAAGACAAATAACACATTGTAACCTAATAACAATATTAATAATATAGAGGAGGCTCTTATATTTGGGACACCCCATCAAATTCTCTTTCATTGAATCATGAATGCATCGCTTTTTTTGTTTGTAATTCATTTGTTTTTATGTTTGGAGCAAAAATCGACATTTCGGGACTGTGCATGTCCAATTTTAGATAAGTCACAGTATTTTTGTTCACTTTTCCAAAGCAAATGGCAGTTTTTTAGATTCTCAGTAACTATGTTAGTATGTATGTAAAGATATTGTTTTAACCTCCCCCTGCAATTCATACCCATATAAGGGATGAGGGCTAGATTATGAGCCTGTTTGATTGTAGGCTGATGGGCATATCAAAATAAGCTTGCTAACATCTTGAGATAGACATTCCAATCACATTTATACTGTTAGCTGTTAGATAAAATTTTAAAAGGAGGTGTTTCAACGAATAATAATGAATTTAACTCATTCTCCTTCATTGGACATGGCAAAATCGTAATATTATTGAGATTAAAAAACCTATGATTTTTTCAATGAATAAACATGACCTAGATCGAGATAGTGGTAACTAGCATATATAATTTATGAATGAAAGAAAAAGTGTGGGCTGCTAATTTGAAGCCAGAGACCATGCCCACTGCAGGTGATCACGCCAGGTGAGCTGGCGGTGAAGAGAGGTATAAACTAAGCGTATAGTGTCACAACCTATCAAACAGGCAGTGGAGGAAAGGGAGAGAGCGTCATGAAAAGATTTATAAGGAACTATGGGAGGGAAGGGGTGTTAAGGTGTAACAAAAACGAACACCTAGATCTAGTCTTGTTCTGGTGAATGTCATTGTGGAAGATATTATAATAAAGCACTCCTACTACTTTCTTATTCTTTGACAGCTGCACATATGTATGCCAATGGAAAAAGAATTTTTTGGTGTGATTAAAAGAGTAATGAGACCCCTGAAAATGCTTTAACTCTTTGACTCTGAAATTATTTTCCACATTTGGTCGGAATTAATGTTTTAGCCCTTTTGTTAGTGTTTGAAAATTAAAAATGAAAACTTACACTACTTACAGATTGCGAAAAAGTCTCCAGGATCTAGATCTAGACCTGATCTTGAAAGAAATTTTATGATGCTTTTTGGAAATAAATATTATTTATCATATTTATCCATATTGTCACATAACTTTAAGGAGAAAACTCATCTAAAATACATAAAATAGAAATTTTTAGCTAATTATTCATGTCACTACTATTGGAAAAATGAAAAATAACCACTGTGGACAAGTCAACAACTCTATGAATTGCCAGCCTTTGAAAATTTTGCACATGGGCTTGGATATAATAGTCTTCAATTCTAAAGGAATGTTTTTGAAATGTGTAAACAAATAGAAAACTATAAAAAAAAAAAAAGGTAATTGCTGAAGCCCATACCATAACTAGATAAATAAATCATGTGGGCTAGATTTTAATTTTAAATAAAAAATGATAGAATGTTTACTATTACAACTTTTTTTGCAGAATTTAAATATGTCTATAACTAAAATTTGAAAAACTATCAGAGTTTCCCTTTAATATGTAAGATTCTCAGGAGAAAATGGATTTATAAGATTCTGTGACACTTTGGTCTACTCCCAGCCTAAATCTCCATTAACCTATCAAAAGCTTCAAAATGGCAGAATGGATAGATTTCTCTGAGGTACACTTTCAGATTAATTAAAAAAATCTAGTTTTTAGACACTAGATATTTTTTTTTTAAAATTAGACTTAATAAGCATAGTTTCTAGACACTAGATTTAAGTCAATTATATTATTACAATATATGTATTGTATTTTAGACTTAATAAGCATAGTTTCTAGACACTAGTCTTAAGTCAATTATATTATTACAATGTGTATAGTATTTTAATTAGACTTAATAAGCATAGTTTCTAGACACTAAACTTAAGTCTATTATATTATTACAATATGTATTGTAAACCAATTAACCAACGGCACTCTCCTCACAATTTCTGAACATTTTTTCACTAAATCCTTAAATCAAATTGTACTGAATTACTGTAATAATTATTAATATTTAAATTATTTCAATTTTAGGTTCCAAAGGAGAGGGAATATGATTCAGCGTTTGAATCTGATGCTGAGGTTACTGCCAGAAAGTAAGCTTTTTATCACAAATATAAATAAGTTCTATTTTAACATGCTAGTTTTTAGAACACAGAGATTATGTCTCCAACAGGGAAGTCCTTTCCTGCATTGACTCCCTATCCCCAGTGTAGTGGTGACTGAATGTCAAATGAGATTTGCAGGACATATGCATACACAAGATGAAACACATTTACTAAAGTCAGCCATAGCATGGAAGCTGGAGAGAAGAAAGCAAAAACAAGGCCATACACTTCTAACATGGTAGCGCACCTTCTTAGAAGACCTAAAATTTGTGGGTACCAGTTGGGAAGAGGTCTATGACCGATCTATGTGGAGAGAACTATCCCCCTTCCCATGTGCTGAAAAATGCAGAAAGACCTAAGTCTAAGTAAGTAAGGACAGAAGATGTTCAGTGTTGGTGTCACTATTTAACTTTACCAGAGCCACATTTACCTTTAAATATAAATATTCTGAGTTAAGCTAATCAAGAGCTAAGAATATGCACTTCTTAAATGTTGATGTAGTTATGGGATGCAGGGTGAATTTAAAAAAAAAAAAATTTAACTGTCAAGACTTAGTTACTTTTAAATTTGTACTTGGAGTAGCTACAAAAATTGATCCCATTTTCAAATCTAAACAAAAATGCCCTTTTGTATATTTAAGATAAAAATAAAGAGAAATGAACTGGATCATGAAAAGTGCTTAGATATCACACTTCAATCTGATCTACCGGTATCAATAATGACACATCATTTCTCCTAACCATATAATTTACTTTTATCTGTCCCTAAGTCTTTCAAACCTTTGGGGCAACACACATGATCTGTTAACCATTTCTTTTTGTCTTTTGCCAGTATTAGAGTCTCTTTCATTTACTGGCTTGTTCATTCTTTGATGTCTTTAGTCTGACTTTCCTTCTTTTTGGAACTGTTTCCTACTGAAGAAATTTGTGAGCCCTGTGGAAATCATGAAATGGATGTACAGCATTTTTTTTTGACAATAGTTAGTTGCAATATCATCATGAAGAAAATATCAACATGCACAAAATATCAACATGCACAATATCATCATGAAAAAATTGTTTTAGGTTAAGAAGTGAAAACATTCTCTGAGCCTTGTTCTTTGTTTTCTATCCTCTTAGACTAAATATCTATTCTATGTTTTTTTTTAATAGAGAAACTGAGATCATAATAATTGTATTTGTTACAGACAAAACTTGACAAACTTACTTCATGGAAAGAAAAAGCATGACAAAATTGCTAACAAGCGTCAGCTGGAGGAAGAACTCATCAAGTATGTTACGGATGCTTTATTGCAACCTGATGCATTGACAAAGTTTTGTTTTATCACACTAGTTTAAGATTTGTGAAGAATTTGAATATAAATTAATGGCTAATATAAAACTGGTTATTATACAGGATTTACATAATGTTAGGTTATTGTGATTCATAATGAATGAAACATTTCTACTATGTAGGGAAGAAGGAAAAGCGTACAGATCTAAAGCTGTAGCACTTGATGCTGTATCCTTTGTTATCAAAAAACGTACTTTTGTTTTTATAATGAATTGCATAACTGGATTTAGTTCTTTTATGCGAACCACTCCTTTCAAAGTTTTAAAAACCTTTTCTATGTAATACTTTCTTAATGTTGCACAGTAAATACAGATTCTTGAAATATTTGCTTCTTGCAAAATTTATTGTAACTATAGATTGGGTCCTTTTAGGAAAACCAATGACTTAGCAGAATTTATTAATTTAAGTCATTAGCATGCATGACTAGATTGACCTAGAGACACTCAAAGGACCTTATCATTTTCTTTTTTGAAGTAACGTCTGTATTTTATAAGTTAGAACTTTATTTAAAATATTTGTAAAGTCTTTATGTATATTTATATATGTATCTGAGCTGTTCAAGGTAAAAGTAGACAGATATTGTTGAACATTCAATTTGCGTGCACAAAAAAGTGTGGCGCATTTAGATTTGCTATACATTTAGTAAAACTGAAATCAAATTATCTTTGCTAAAATATTTTTTTTATACCTTACTGTACTTATTATAGTGTTTATATTTTAAATACTAAATGAAGATTATTATTTCTATTTCCAAGTTAAATGTATGAATAGTTAACATTTTTTTAGGCTGACATTTGATAGCTTCATCTGATGGGCAGATTGTGTGTGCCATTGTTTGTGTATATTAAATCCTTACCTCACACAAGTACTCTCGCCACAAAGAGTTCATCAACAATTACCTACTGTACTATGGTGGATCAATGAAAGAATTCAAAAGGGATACGTAAGTATTGTTAGTCTGTTACTGTAACTCCCTATTAATATCTCTCTGTCTCTCAATCTTATATTATCTTATATAATACAGACGTTACTTCAAAAAAGAAGATGATTACGTCCTACGCATCATGCATTTAGTCATGCATATTAACCAATGACTTAAATTCTGCCAAGTCACTGGTTTTTCTGGCTAGCTCAGGCAACCCATTCCATGTTATAATAGCACTAGGGAAGAAGGAGTATTTATACAAATTTGTCCTAGCATATGGGACGAGGAATGTGCCTTTATTTTTGTGTCTTTCAGAGTATTTTATTAAATTTTGTTTTTGTATTTGAAGATTATGGTTCAGTGTTTTATGTATAATTGCTACTTTACTTTTGAGTCTTCTGTCCTGAAGGCTTTCTAAATTTAGTGATTTTACTAAAGGTGTGACTCTAGTCAAATGTGAATATTCGTTTGTTATGAATCTCACTGCTCTATTTTGTGTTTGTTCCATTTTCTTAATGTTTTCTTGAGTTGAGGGGTCCCAAATGGAGGATGCATATTCTATTATTGGCCTAACCAAGGTTAATTAACATTTTAGTTTTATGTTCTTATTTGATTTATAGAAATTTCTTTTAATAAACCCTAATGCTTTGTTGGATTTTTTTATAGTTTCATCAATATGTGGATTCCATGACAGTTTTTCATTTATTATAACACCTAGGTATTTTGCGTTTTTAGTCTGTGTTACTAGTTTGCCATGAATAAGATAAGTGGAATTAATTTGTTTTAGTTTTTTTTGTTACTCTTAACAACTGACATTTTTCTGGGTGGAAAGACATGCTCCAATTTGATTCCCATTTCTGTAATTCATCTAATTCTCTTTGTAAAATATCTGTGTCTTGTGTTGTTTTTATTGTTCTATATATTATGCAATCGTCTGCAAATAATCTGACTTTTGTTCCTGAACTAATGCAATTTAGTAAATCATTTATGTAAATTAAAAATAGTAGTGGACCCAAGACTGTTCCTTGAGGTACACCTGAGTTTACTGTTATTGGTGTTGATTTAGAGCCATTTATTATTACAGTTTGTTCTCTCCCTATTAGAAAATCTTTAATCCACTGATGCAGTGGACCATTAATGCCGAAATATTTTAATTTTTTAAGCAAACTATGGTGGTGAACTTTGTCAAAAGCCTTGGAAAAATCTAGTAAGATAGCATCTATTTGTTCACTATTATCTAAACCTTTAGAAAAATCATCAATTAGTCCTATTAGTTGTGTTTCACATGATCTATATTTCCTAAAGCCATGTTGGTATGGGGTGAGGACATTATGTTTGTCTAAGTGGTTTATGATGTTGCTACATATTATGTGTTCTAGGATTTTACATGTGATGCTGGTAAGTGATACTGGTCTGTAGTTTCCTGGATCAGATTTTTCTCCTTTTTTAAATAGGGGGGTGACATTAGCTTCTTTCCAGTCCTTTGGTACTCTGCCCTGGTTAAGCGATGCCTGAAAGAGTATTTTGAACACTGGGGCTAGCTCATTGCTTAGTTCTTTGAGTAATCTAGCTGGAATACCATCAGGTCCAGACGCTTTATTTGGTTTGGTGTTGGCTAATAGTTTTTGAATTCCATTTTCTTGTACTACTAAATCTTCTATGTTGTCTACTTGGTTCAAATAAAGAAATATGTCTTTGTCTTCTGGGGCTGAGAATGCTGATGCAAAGTATTTGTTTAGGATGTTTGCTTTAGTTTCATTATCATTTTGTATTATGTTATGTTCATCTTTTAATGGCGCTATGGCTATTGTTTCCATTTTCTTAGACTTAATGTATGACCATAGGTTTTTGTTGTTATCTTTAGATATTACATAGTTTTCTTTATTCACTCTGCAGCTGTCTGCTTACTTTTTGGGTTAAGTGTTTAATTTTTATATACTTTTTGTAAACTCTTTCTGCCTTAGTTTCTTTAAATTTTCTATATAGGTTTTCCTTCTGTTTACAAAGCTTCTTTAGTCTATTATTAAATCAGCATTTATTTATTTTGTTTGATGTGTATTTAGTTGGTATATGATTTTCTATAATGCTTTTAAGATGGTTTTTAATGAAATTCCAGAGGTCATCGACTGGTTGGTTAATGTCTTTTTCTCATAAGAATGTTTGTTGAAAGTTTAATGCAGCTTGGTGTAGTTGTGTTAGGTTACATTTATTCCAGAGTAAGACAATGTCTCTGTTCTCCTATTAGAGCACCTCATACTACTGTAGAAATAATTTTTATTTACCTATATTATGGAACACTAGTCAAACCATGACATAGTTAATTATTTTTCATAATGTTAAATATATTTTTTCCAATATGGGGTATATTTTAATGTAAATACTACTTTGTAATGCAATAACTAAGTACCAGGTGACCAGATAGGACAAATGACCATAAGAAGATCTCATTGGATGTCAGTAAAAGTATGAACTATCTTTAGAGAGTATGTTATATTGGAAGCTGGGATGCCAGACCTTGAAGCATTTTTCTACATGGGGAAAAGTATTAAACTAATGTCAAAATAACAACTTTTCATTTATGAATTGAACTTGTCCATATGTATGATAGCTCTTAATAATAACATCTCAGTTATCTGATGTTCATATAATCTCTCTTTTCAGGTCAAAAGATAAGACTGATGCTGATGTCATTAGAGAGAATCATCAGTTTTTATGGGATGAAACAGACAACAGCCTGTCTTGGTATGTGATGTGAATTTTTCTAATTTGTGTTGCCAACTTTTGTATTTGAGAAACAGTTCATAAAAAAAAACATTTTGTAGTATTCCTATAGCAAATCAAACTTATTTATCTTACTTTTCAACCACTCTTTTAGGGAAAAGAAACTGGCTAAGCGCTACTATGATAAACTATTCAAGGAGTATTGTATTGCAGATTTAAGTCGTTACAAAGAAAACAAAGTAAGGTCTGTCTACGGTATTTACAAAAATGTTAATAGCTATAATCTCTAAATATTCCCCTACCAGAAGTATATTGTACATCTCTAAATATCTATCTCACGAGAAATATAATCTATTATTTTGTGTATTGGTACTTGTAGTCACTGTCATTGAATTCTTAAATAGGATTGTCCTGATCAAAATTTGTAAGTCTAAACATTAACAGAGGTAAATCAACAAGTCTAGGTCTATCAAAGATTAGATGAAACAGCAAAATATTTAGAACTTTAATAAAACAATGAAACTGTAAAATAATAATC